TCCAAAGGAATTTGTGGTTAACCCTGAATGTTTCATCTTTATTTATACATTTCATAATGCATCACTATTACAATATTAGCATTTTCTTTATGTAATTCTTTGGGCAAACATAAACAGAACGATGACATAGTAATCACAATATTTTACTAATGTGAAGAAATTATCACTAATATAGGTATTTTTTCATTAACTTCTACAAGAGAGATTAACATAAAATTCAGTTATGTAAATTCTAATTCTGTATTATTAAATAACTTAATTTAGAATAAATTGCATATTTTTAGAATCTAGGATATGTAGGTAGAAATAATTATGTTAATGTACTAATAAGACATGTGTAAATATTATCTAGATTCTAGATAACTAAACAGAAACTACTGAGGTTTTACATGGATCTTCTAAAATTTCTACCTATCTAAAAAAAGTACTTTATTAAACAGTTAAACTTTTCAGATGCATAAATTTAAATTGTATTCTAAAATTTTCATCAATATAATCATAGGTATTATTTGAATTAAAAGAAATACCATTTTCTAATGATATGTAGAGCTTTTGGTATTTATTAAATTGTTCATAAGTTTTTTATGTCTTAACTATTTAAAAATAAAAATAATAGCATAAGCTTGATTCACAGTCTTACAAAGAAAATAGATGCTTATTTGGGTGAATTATAAAATAAGTAAAACTGTACTAATGTACCTACAACTCATGTCTGAATTATGTAATGTATTTATTGTCAACAAATATCTTTAATTTTTATTAAGTGAAACCTGACTGTTGTTTTTAATTCAACATTTTCAGTAATTTATAATATAATTATATACCTATTAACAAAATTGTAATTATAAGTAGCAAAATTCCAGATATATTATATATCAAATCTAATTATGTACCTACTTAATAATAATAAATAATATAATAAAATGGAATAAAGAAAATTTTACTTGTTTAATTTTTTTTTTTTTTTGATTAGTTCCAGTTCCTCTTGTCATATTAAGATGTTTATTATCAGTTTGATTTTCAGTGTGTGCAAATTTTTACTTCATTTAAATTTTTTTTATGTAAATAAAAGTAGAAAAATAGCATTATGAATATACAGTGTGAAATAGCCAAAGGGAATAAATAAATATAAAAAATCCTGAAACATGTCAATTTTATTATAAAATATTAGCTCTAGAATTTTAAACTTCTATAAATTGGATAGTGTGAATTGTTTTTTTTTTTCTTTTTTTTTTTTTTTTTTTTCTTTTTTTTTTATGGACGTACTGTGTATGAGCTGACTAGTCTGAGAAGTATTTTTTAAACATTGAAAAAATGTAAAAATACGTTATTGATGAATAAATTCTATTCTATTCATTCTGGAAGGTGAAAATTTCACCCCAACCTTCAACTCCCTTCAAATTCAATTTTTTTATTGGTGTCAGGAAAATCACAACAAGGTCATGTTTAATGATTCAAGTTTAGCACCACAATGTTTAAAACAAAAGAAGAACCTAAAAAGTGATCACAATATTCGTTTAGGAGCAGATCTGAAGGTTATGCAACGAGGTTATATCAAAAAGGTTTATACATACCTAGATGAAAGGAAAGCTAATGGAGAAACGAATCTAATGATCAAATTTCTCAGAGGGGTTCCAAAAATAGTAGTAAATTGTTATTTCCATACCATAGGAGGCATACAAACTAAGCTTAAAGAGTTAAAATTAGCAATTGATGTATTTATGGCATCATCATTTTTATTGAATCTTGGCTAACTTCAAATATCTCAATGTATGAAATGAATATGAATAACTATTTGACCTACAGATGTGACCCCCCCAATCTGAAACAAAACAAAGGGGTGGTGGTGTTTTAATAATGGTTCATACGGAAATCTGCAGTAGTGAAATCAACATTAATTACAACTTTAGGTCAAACTTCTCACAATTATTTACAAATGTAATCCATGGTAAATCAAAATAAGTTATTGGTGCTATTTATATTCTCCCTAAATCTAAAGAAGAAATGTATTTAGAACACACACAATATGTGGAAAACATTCAAAAGTGGAGACTACAATATGTCAAAAGCAGTTTGGTTTAATGCAGATAGTGACTTTTTTGCTTAATATACTCAAGATACTGCAACAAGTGTCGTTTTAGTTTTCTTAATATGTTTCAAGTAAATATGCTACCAAACAATCATGATGTATTTTTGGATTTGTGGTTGACACATTGCAAAGAGCTCATGTTGTGTCTGCTACAGACCCTTTGTTACCAAATTTTTATCATCATATGGCTTATAATTTTTCACTAATATGTGACAATAATCATTCTTTAAAATATGAAGTATTCTATCATTATTTCAGAAAAGCCAATTTAGACAAGAATGCAAGACAATTAGCAATGAGTGTTACAAAAGGTACATTAAAAGAATAAACTAGTATAACATGTATTTTAATGGTAAATTAAGTAATAGTGGCTATTCGTCAGTGTGCCTTTTCGCTAAACATTTTTCTTCAGTGTATTCTAGTGACATTCATGCTTCTCCAAATTTCAGCAATGATAAAGTCATGGATCTGGACTATTTTCACATTTCTATACAAGATGATTTTAATGGTATATGTGAATTAAAACCTAAATTATCTTTTGGTTCTGATGGTTTGCCTGCCTTGTTTTTAAAGAATTGTGTTTGTACTCTCACACAACCCTTACATTTGTTGTACAATTTATCTCTGAAAAGTCAGTATTTCCAAGCTTTTGGAAGAATAGTTTTATAACCTCTATAACTGCATACTTATAGTATGGAGACAGAGAAAATGTGTCAAATTACCGTGAAGTTTCAATTCAGTCTGAAATTCCAAAGTTGTTTGATAAATTGATTTCTGTACAACTAGCTTGGTCAACAAAACATATAATTGTTCAACAGCATGGTTTTTCATCAGGTAAATAAACTTCAACAAATCTTCTATGTTATCAGAATCACATTTTGAATGCCTTTGATAGTATATATACAGACTTTTCAAAAGCATATGATAGGGTTAATCACATAATTGATAAGTAAACTAGAATCTCTTGGAATGAATAGAGGTGTTTTGGACTGTATCAAAAGTTTCATAACGAATAGGGTGAAGTGTGTCAAAATTAATAACTTTGTATCAAATGCACTAGAAGTTTCTTCTGGAGTACCACAGGGTTCTCATTGTGGGCCAATTTTATTTAATTTATTTATTAATGATATCAGTGAAATATTTGATCATTCAAAATATCTTCTATTTGCCGAAGATCTGAAAATATTTAAATCAATAGAAAACGATGGAGATTGTGATTTGTTGCAAGCTGATATGGATAGATTTTATGATTGGACCATGCATAATGCCCTCGACCTTAACACTTGAGTTTTTCTAGGAAAAAACCTACTCTTATTCATGAATATATGGTTAATGGCAATGCTGTGAAAAGAGTCAATGAAATCAAAGACCTTGGTATTATTATGGATAAAGAATTATAACTTTAAGAGCCATATACAAAAATTGAAGTTTACATGATTTAGAAATATGGGTTTTATACTTAGAGACAGTAAAGATCTATCTCTGAACAGTATAAGGCTTGTATATTTATTATTTGTTAGGTCAGGTCTTGAGTATGGATCTGTTGTGTGGTGCCCTTTTTATGAATGCGACGTCAATATGTTAGAAAGAGTGCAGAAGAAATTTCTTAAGGCCTTAAGGCTGGGTTATAGGTGGGACAAAACCAACTATCAAACAATAAGTTCTAACATAGTATCATTGGAGAAACGAAGACTTGATGCAGATTTATTATTTGCATATAAATTGATTAATGGCCATGTCAACTGTCATGATATATTGTCACAATTTTCTTTTAATACTGGGACCAGAATCAACAGAAATAGACCTTTATTTTATACTCAATCACACTCAACCAATTATGGTTATCATAGTATATTATCTCATTTGCCTCATGAATATAATAATTATTGTCTTTTGGATATCTTCTGCAAATCTCTAAGTTCATTTAACTCTTTGAGTGCACATGTCACATATGTGAGACAATTCGATTTTGTCTGCAGTGTGCATGGCACACATGTGTGACACCAGAAAATTTTCATTTCAGTAGGCCCCAGTATTTTCTCAGCACTGGCCTAAAGAGGCAACTGCTATTGTCACAGCGAAAGGATTAAGAATGCCTTATATTAAATTGTTTAATTTTAATTGTTATAGAAAAATTATGTTTTACATTGTTAGGTATTTATATTTTCTTTAAATTGTCATTTTTATTATTTTGGGATTGTGCCTATATTTAAATTGTCCATTTGTCTGTTGGTTTTAATTGTGATTATACCTGCTAACTATATCAATTAAGTAATATTACTATGTAATTTATAATATTTTTTTCTTTATGTATTGGAAATTCGTAAATAAATAAAAAATAAATAGTACCAATCTGATGAAAACCATATCACGTGACAAGTTCGACAGTTGCAACCACCAAATTTTTAAATAGAAAGTACTTGCAATCCCTCATTTGACATGTCTCTTCATTCTCTATTCAAAAATGCTGTGAGTTTCAAATTTATTGCAAAAATTAACAGTAAATTAACAAAAAATAATTTATATGACTATGAAATTCCTTACAACACCCTAAACAATTAATAACTAATAGAGTTTTGTTCTTGATAATGAGAGGGCAAGCAAAAACAATTTCAATGTACTTTTGCGAGGATATTAACAAAAGGACGTAAACAGTTATCAACATTCTTAAAAGTGGTCACTCTTAATTTCATTTAAAAAGTCTTAGCAACTTGCTGTGTGATTGTAACTAGTTGTGGTCAAAATAATCGATTAATCAACAATAATCGATAACATTGATAAATGGTGACAAATACATACTTGAATGGGCAGTCAGAACAACCACCAGATCACTATTGAAACAGAGTTCTATTATAATAAAAAATAGATAAAATATAATAAAGAAATATGAAAATAATCATTAAATACTCACCTAATTTAACACCACCAGCCATGGTGAGCAATACATTTCCAGCCTTAAGATCTCTATGAATAACATGTGACTTATGAAGAAAAAGCAGTCCTTTACACATATTTTGGCACACATAAGCTATCTGAGGTTCATTGAGAGGCTTCTCTAATTCAGTCATTATACTGTCCAGTGCTCCACCATCACAGTATTCTATGAGCAACCAAAGTTGTTGATCTTTTTGAAAGGCCTCATGGAGTTGAACTATATTGGTATTCTTTATTTCTGATAATATATCAATTTCAATCATAAAATCTGATAGATCATCTTCTCCATCTAATCTACACATTTTAGCAGCTGCTAATTGCCCGGTATGTTTGTGCTGAGCTTTATACACTTTACCGTAAGCACCATCACCTAATTCACCAATCATGTCCCAAAACTCCTCAGGATCACAGTCCATACGCACATTATTAAAAACTTTTTTCTTTTTCGCATCATTACCACCAAAGTGGAGCACTTTTTTAATGTTATTGAAGAAAGACATTATTATTGTTCACAAACACAAAAATGAAGACAATATGAATTCTTCCTGCATTATCACAATAGTTGATTGACTAAATTAGTTCTAAAAGATTTCAGTTTCTTTCCTTCCAGATTACATTACCTGAAAAAGAAAATCCTATTTACCTATTTTCAACAAATACTTCTACATTTTTATTTGTTTTTGTCCTATACATGTAACCACCTAACACATCAAAAATGAAATACAGACGTTTTAAAGTAAAAAAGGAATCCCCACGTAATGAAAAAACGGAGTAGATAATTAGATTTAAAATATGTATAGACCATATTTAAAGTGTACATCTCATATCTCATGACTGTAGTGGTAGTGAAAGGAAATGTCAGAGCCACAAGTTTAGAACAAACTACCTGTCTAGTTTATTTAATACATACAAAAATATAAATATATTACTTACAGTACTAAATCTATCACCACTGGTTTAAATAGGAAATAAGTATTTATTTACCACCAGAAAAACTAATTATATTTTTATCGCATTTGTATATTTTCATTTTCTAGTTACAGTCGGCCATGCCAATTTGTACCTATATCTATCCCCGTTCCCCGCAGAACATACCACGCCTGAGATGACATCACTATAAAGCAATCTTCGTATTCCAGTACAGAGAGTGCAAAACTGACATTTGACAATCCACTTTAATAGTCAATTTGTTATCTTCAACAATTCGAACAATTAGGCATTCCAAACAAATGAATTACCAGTGGGCAGGTTTGGTATATCTAAGGGTGGCGACATATGGTGTATTCTATCTACTTTACGTAAAATCATGAATAATGGATTACATTTAAATATTTTATGTCAAACACAATAAAAATAATATTTAAAAAACCCACCTATATATTTCTTCATAAATTGGCAGGCTTGGCGAGTACTACTTCGAATAAAAATAGCATCCAAGTTGCAGGACTATGTCGCTACCCCCTTAAATATACAAGAATTTCCCACTGGCACCTATTGTTTGACAGGTCGTTGGAATGCCTAATATACCCGTATCGATGAAGACTAGATATAAGGAGGCGAATCGGCAATGATCAAATTTCAAATTTCTGTCCTTCTTTTTATAAAGTTCGCTAAATTGACTGTAGTTGGCAGCTCGAACGTCACTGACGTTCATTTTCTATATAAGTCAATGTAAAATGAAGTGATTTTTTAAAAAAATTGGTAAAAAGAATCAAAATAGTAAGAGAAAAAGTACCTGAGTACAAGTAATATGAGTGACAAAAAACATTAAAGGATGATTTACCTCGTTCCACATTGTAAAACAAGATACAAATCACATGTAAAACTAAAGAAAATACAAGGAGAAATCAATTCAGTTTCTTTTTAAAGCTTCTAATGTAAGTAAAATAATGCATTTATGTCTAAATATAATATTTATTGTAAACTAGTCACAACACGTATCACGGAGTGTAGTTTATTTTATTACAAGTTTCTAGAAAATAAAATTTTATAGTCATAGATCCTGACAAAAAAACAATAATTATACATTAAATTTAACTTACCAGTAAGAAACTTTGTTTTAGTGTAAATAAAGAGGTGCTACTGTTATTTTTTTGTTGAACCCCAATTTTGTCATTTTAAATGTTTTTTATAGGATCCTTTAGAAGATATTTCCAAATATTATTACTCTTTTTACTGATGGTACTCTTAGCAAAATAAAAAGGGAAAAGCCGAAATTAAAGGATGTGGCAATATCATATACATTACCAAATCTTCCTTTATGCGTGTATTATAACAATAAAAATCTGTTAACTATGTTTAATTTTGCTCTTAACTACTATAGTTAGGTGTAACTCAAAAAAATTTGGACACAAAATTGTACTTACCAAATTTCACCATTTAACAAATCTTTTCGAATTGGGTCATACCTACCTAAATTACATATTATATATAGATTAGCGTTATTCAAAGTGTAGTCCGCGAAGCCCCAGGGCCCCGCAAAGCCTTTGTAGGACTCCGCGAAGAAAACAATAGTCATAATAAAAAAGCAGTACTATCGCTACAAAATTGAGGGACTTGGCTTGAGGACTTTTTTTTAGTTAGAAGTCAGTAAGAGGAAGCAGGATATGATTTTGATTGGTACTTTTTTTTTAAGTCAGTAAGAGGAAGGACGATATGATTTTGCTCGGAGGACCTTTTTTTAGAAGTCACTAAGAGAGGAAGGAAGATATGATTTTGTTCGGAGGATCTTTTTTTTAGAAGTCTCCAACAGGAAGGAAGATATATGATTTTGTTCAGAGGACCGTTTTTTTAGAAGCCTTCAAGAGAAAGGAGGATATAATTTTGATTTTTTAGAGGGGCTCCGCGAACAAGGGGGAGGGACCTGGCTCGAGACCTGTTTTTTTTTAGAGTCACTAAGAGGAAGGATGATATGGACCTTTTTCTTTTAGAAATGTGTTTAGGGCTCCGTCAAATATTTCGCTTTTCAAAAAGGTTCTGTCACCAAATAAGTTTGAGAACCACTAATATATAGATAAAATTAAATAATTTATCAATTAAAACTTGCGAGACTTTTTATTAAGAAATAAATACAACAGTATATTCTGTGCTTTATTTGGCAATAAACAAGTTTATTTTTATTATTTTGACAAAATTATGTAAAATTCCCATAAGAAGCCATGTATTTTGAATAGCGGTACTAGTACCAGCGCCCTTGCGGTGAATTAAAAAAGCTCAATTAGCGTTTGTTTTTTGGGACCGTATCAAGTATGCCGATTCGCCTCCTTATCTCTAGTCTTCATAACCGTATCCCACATGACACATGATTCGGTAACGAAAAACGAAAATGACAGTTCTTAGTGATAGCCGATGCATGGTAAGTCTTGTCTTATGACAACTTAAGTATCAGTTGTGTCAAATACGTCAGTAATGACATCAATTTGGTCACGTGTTCGATACGGGGTATTGATGAAGACTTGAAGACTGTATACAATGTACGTACATAATGGACAAAGTCATTATGATAATAAATCTACGCAACTCTTTACATTTTTTCTCTTTATATGTGCGGCGTTATAAATCTTCTTTGAAAAATGTTTAACCTTTAACTTTAGCGTAAAGTAAATGTTTAATTCTCTACCCCTCCGGGGTCCCATTTTGTAACATTGAATGAACCAATGTTCCATTTCCTGCTGTCCAAACGTCTCTCAACCATCTAACTCTGGATTATTCTCTACCATAGAACAATAATAATATCAATGACATCCCCATTGGTAATATGTCCTTGTTTAGTGTTTATCCACCTATTCATTGCACCCTGTCGAGCGGAGCCAGGTTTTGCTTATCCCAAACACAGGTTCGGGTCCTCTGCGAATGGTAATTTGATCCGACTTTTGTGAGTACATCAGCCTTTTCATCTCTCTGGATCACCTCTGGATACCTTTAATGTTCAACTTTTTGCTTGTTTTTGCTCTTGAACTCGATAAGTATTCGTTAAAAATTTAACTCAATACTGTACTGTCACCCTTATGAGAAGCCAAACTAATAACCTCTAGCACAGTAATTCTCAAAGTAGTGGTCGTAAAAAATTAACATCTGGTCATAAATTTAAATTAAACTCCCTATTCCGGGATTTTCCTATATATGCCCATTCTTCGGGCTCCTCTGAAATGTTTTAGCGCAAAAAGGGGTTGCAAACCAAAAAGATTGAGAAACACGGATTCTAGCAAAGAATCAACTAATCCAGTAAAAAAACTGAAAATGTCTACATATATGCACTTGTTTTACTCAACGTCGTTGTTCATTGCCTTTATAGTTTATGAAAACAACTAATATCTACTTTTAATAAACCTACCATCTTTCCTTACTAGAAGATAGTAATATGCATAAACGATCTACCTATATGCTTTGCTTTATGAGGGTTATTGGCTTCAATTTAAAAAAATATATATATTCGTACTTTCTGACCTGTAATAAATACAACTCAGTGAGAACATTGTTGACATGCGTGGCTAGGGTGGGGGAAGCAGGTAAGAAGTTTGTTTTGTCAAAACAAAAAGTCACTACAAAATTGACATTGGCATTTTTGACATAAAAAAGGTAATAAAAGTGCAAAAACCGCTGTAAAATTATGTTATTAAAAAAATAATAGAGGAATTTCCTTCAGGCTCTTTCACTTCACCTATGATAGAAAATAATCGTTGTTGTTGAGGAGTAGGAAGGACACGTGTTATTTATTTATTGCTATCAATGCTATGTAATGTCGCAGCCAAGTAGAAGTATTTGGGCCATGATTATTCGAAATTTTCTTAATTCTTTAAAGCCTCGACAGTTTCAAGGAACTTTAATGGGAAGCGATTACTTTGGAAATAAATATTATGAAATTCCGCCTAATCCATCGGTTGGTAAAAGGAAAGCAAGTCGATGGTTCGATCCCCCTAAAAAAGACGATTTCATGCAAGAAATGCCAGCTGAATGGGAAGCATGGCTTAGGGGAAGAAGAAAGGAACCTCCTAGCGAAGAGGAAGTCATGAAAAATTTGGCTATAATGCAAATGAAGAAAAAAAATTCTGTTGAAGTTGATGCCAAAGCAGGAAAAATGACACCTATGGCAAAGGGCTATGAAACCTTTCCTAAACGGCCAGAGTATGAAAGTATACCAGGCGAAAAATATGATAAATAAATTTGTAAAATAGTAGTAATAGGTTGTAAATAAAGTTTTCTAAAGACTTAACTTTTAATGAAATTTATAAGTTCGGAAATCTTGTAATTTAGGTGGGAATTAATGTACGTGTCCTCATTACTGCAATGACATTTACAATTTGAATTTTAACTTACCCCACTGTCGAATTTCTATTCTTATCTTTCAGTAATTTTGAAGGCAATGAAAATCTGTTTCACAAAAAAAATACATCAAAATAAAAGAATATTTTTATTCATTTCTAACAATTTTCCTTGTCCTTAAAATTTATATTTGACAGCATCTCTGATAACTTATTTACTTTAAAAAATTAGTACATAATGATTCAGATTGTCAGCAATAATGCAGGGTACAGATATACACATTAATATCTGCCTAGACTATTATTTTTTGAAAGATCTACAGAGCAACATTTTTTGACAATTTTAATTTCATACACAGAGACATGGCTTTGTATTTTTTACACATTTGGAAGGCCTATATTTTTCTCGCGTATCGGGGACAACACCAATCATTTGTAATTGCTGTGGTGGGAGGTGTTTGTGTGAATGCGTTTTGTTTCTTTTTATTTACGCCGTGACTAGCAGTAGTATTTTATAAACCTTAGAAGTAAATTTCACACAAATAATAATAATGCCGTGACAATAAGAAGACGAAGCAGACTTCCCGTAGGGTGACAGCTTCGCCGCCACCATAACATTTTAATCCATACCTGGCTACGCCGACCGGCATAAACACCAACGGCCTGAACACAGCTCGCCTACTGTCAAAAGGAGACCGATGTACAAATAAAACGCGTACATGCGCATTACAAATGATTAGTGTTGTCCCCCATACGCGAGTTATATTCTTGTCATCTTTAAGATAAGCCACAAGTTTATAAATAATTTTACACTAACAATATATGAATTATTGTAACACAACAATTATTTAAACTTAAAATTTTAATGGTTTCTTATGATTAATATCAGACTAGGCACTCTCAAAATTGCTCATTTAAAATTTTGGGCTGGGGTGGTATGAAACAACTCATTCAGTAAAGTAAAATACATTTCTTTAATATAATTATATATTTACAGTCAAATAGAAAATATACATAAAAAATATCAAATATACAGAGATTATGAACACAATAAATTAATTAATTAAAGAGTGTCAAAGAAGCACTTACATTCGTTTGGAAACTGAATAGAAACTATTTTTCCTAAGTCTCAATTAATAGTTAAAAAAATTACATTTTTAAAATCACTTTGCACTTAAAATATCCTAAACTTGATTTAACCTGAAAAATCACTGTGATCAAATAATGTCTGGTCATAAAGGGACGCTTGCACTAATCTTCCACCAAAATATCTGCCATTTAATGCATCTTTTGCTCGTTCAGCACCTGAAAAACAGTCATACAATAATTAACTATTATTTAAAAACATTTGAAGCTACTCACCATATGTTTCTGCAAATTCTACAAAAATTTTAACTATCACATCAGAATCATCATCTTCCTCTGTTTGTTTCTCATTATAAATAATCACTCTCTCTACAATTCCAAATTTGGTACATTCTTCTTGAATTTCCTCTTGTAACATTTCATCTACATCTTCAGGTCCAACCATATTTCTAAAACAAAAGCATTACAATTTAGATATAGTTTACTTTACAAATACCTAGTAAAAATCACCTTAAAATTACCACCCGGGTATCAACCTTTCTCATTAGTTTCTGCATGACAAAATGCCTTGCATTTTGTCCTTTTATTGACATACTTTCTTGCTGCTGCAAAGTCTGTGGCTCACTTTGGTCTAGTAATTTCTTTTGCAGTTGTTCTTGTTGCTTCAGTTGAGCTTCTTGTACTTTTTTCATTGTTTCTGCTGAAGTTGTGTGAGGTAGTTCAATCTCCCGCATATTTAATAAAGCAGGTGTTACTACAGTAGGAGGAGGTACTATCACCTGAAAATTCAATAAAATCGGTAATAAGTATCCATTTTTTTTTAATAATGTATGTATATTTTTCTTACTTGTGGTGTTACTATTGCAGGCTGGATAGTATTATTTTGTGCCATTTGTGGTATAGCTATTCCAGGTGGAGGAATGATAGCAGGTACAATCCCTGGTGTTGTAGAAACCACTGTAGGCAACGTTACAATGGGTTGGGTAATGCCCGGCATTACTACTGAAGATGCAGCTGGTAGCGTAGGGGATTTTGTTAAATTGGGTAATCCTAATGCAGCAGCATTACTAGCGACTGCGTCCATCGCTTGAATCTTAGCAGTTGCAGCTGCAGCAGCAACTGAAAATAATATTAGTCAGTTTATTACTTATGTATGTTTATAAAATGTGCATGATATAATTTTAATTTATATTTAATATTTATACCTGCTGCTGCTGTAGGTAACACACTGGATCCAGAAGATGGTCCTAGAAGGGCATTAGGAGGAGTAATAGCTCTGCCCACCCTAAGATACTGGCCACCCAAATCAAATAGATTCATACTGGCAATGGCTTCATTAGCTGCTTGAGCTGTTTCATACTCAATAAATCCATAACCTTTGTGTTTGTGTCCCGAACTTCCCTGGGCTAATTTACAATATATGATGGGACCAAATGCTTCAAATACACTACAAAAAAAGAGATACCAATAAAGAGCATATCAAGAGATCTAATGTTATTTGGTTTACTATACCAATTTTTTTCATTAATCAAAAGTACAATTTTAATAGAAGTATAAAAATATTAACCTTTGTATATCAGCTTCAACAAGATCTGGATGAATTGAAGCAACATAAATCCTGTTGTACTGTTTAGCTTCCTCTTGAATTTCATCTATCACATTCTGCGCTTGGGGCATGTTACTGGGCCTACCGACTACTTTGATATTCCTACCACCAATCATAACTCCGTTCATTTGCTCTAAAGCCAATTGGGCCGCTTCTGGAATTTCATATTCCACAAAGGCAAAACCTTTATGTTTTTGTGTAACGGGATCCCATGACATATTGATCGATTTTATTGGACCAAACGGCAAAAAAGCTTGCCGAATCGTATCTTCTTTCAGTTCAAAACTTATGCTTCCAACGTAAACCCTAAATTGGGAATAATGATACTTATGAACCTAATTCTGCTTTTATATTGTGTTAACTAAGAACTAGTAGTTAATTTGGTTAATGTAAAAAAATGATAACTTACTAAGAGCTTGAAATATTTTATATTTTGAAATAAATAAAAATGAATTTGCATTTTATTTTCCTGTAAGGTTTAGTTGTGTATTTACTTTTATATATAATTTTGAAAAGATTGAATAAGTATTTTATTGGAATATATAAATGGCCGCAAAAAACAAATTAAAAAAAGTAGAATTTAAAAAATACAAAGTTTAGACACATTTTCATTTTTTAGCAACTGAACATGTTAGTAAATTATCAACTTTAATTAAAGAGCTCTAAACTACAAAAGTGCAAAATAGGTACTTCAAAGCTATTCAAAACAATGAATGTATAATAACAGATGTCTTGAAGTCCCACTCTTATAACCTAATCAGGCTTGTTCTCTTTCGCAAATATTGCTGCTTTCTTTGACATGTCCTGATTATTTTCTTCGCTATAAGAGTATACAAGAATTTTGCAAGGGACCTCAACAAATCCTGTATAATATCAAACACTTGTGTAGTTCATTGCCCATATTTATCTACAGTTATTGTAGGTTATTATGATCAATTTTGGAATTTCCACCAAACTTTAAAAGCATTTCAGTATATAAAAATACAAATTTAAAAAAAAAATCACAAATGAGAAATTCTGATCAATTAAATATAGAACATAATAATTCCATCAAACTTTTTGAATTAGTGGAAACTCTAAAGAACATCCTGTGCTTCCTAATATATAATGATACCTTATAAAAATCAGATCTTATCAGCTAAAAATTCACAAGTCAGAGAAACAAGTTCCTCAACAACTTCTTTTATTGATTTTTTTTTCATCATTTTATAAGGATAAATGATTATAAAATGAATAATCAACGAATATTAATAGGAGGAATAATTTAATTCATAGTAAATTCAATTTAATTTTTATAATATATTAAAAAAATTTGAAGCAATTGGGAAATTCCTTATTAAATAAACGTTGATTTTGCCTACACAACTAAAAATACTGTGTTACACTTTGTAAAAGAACATTGCACTAGTAATAACGATTTAACATGTGTATTAAAAATAAATTATTGAAAATTAGGTTACAATGTCTAACACAGCACGGGAACGTACGTTTTTCTAGAGTGCTAACCTGCACATGAGAGCGAGAGCCTGCTGCCTCTGGATAAGATTCCTCTGACTAGCCTCTTGCTGCAACAGAGGACAATAGTCACGTCACAACTTTTTTACAATATTTATTCCCTTTCGACCATAAAAGACAACAGATTTGGTTGTTGACAAAAATAAAAGGTATTTCAAAGAATTTATATTACAAAGTGTTCAATAGAAAATAACTAATTTCACTATTTCTTGTTTATTTTTTATGCCTAAGTAGCAATTTATTAGTGGGCATTATGTAAAACTTCTGAATAAAAAAAAATTTTACATTACTTTTGTAACATTTTTATTTAATCTCGTATGACGGATACAGATCCGTTAAAAATATGAAAATACGAAAAATACTGCAAAATAAGGTAAAAAATAATAAAATATTACAATCCAAAACAACAAACATTTTATTACTATTTATTTATCTTGGTTTCTAATAAAGATGATGACAAGATCCATACTAACGTGTGTTAAGTGGCAAATATAAAAAGTCGGTGTGCTGTTTTTACTTCTTACACAAGTCATATCGAAAATAGTAATACCCTTTTGTGAGGCGAGTTAAAGAGTTGTTTTAAGTCACGTTAGCGTGGATGAAGACACCGCCTTTAATATACGGATGACAATTTAAAAACAATCGCTCTAACCATATAAAAACGAATCAACATCTGCCTTTTAAGCCGCCTTATGATTATCAAAATTAGAACATAATTCAATTAACTTTAATTTATTTAATATATTACCTGAACACATAAAAACCTTAAGACACACAAAATACAAAAATACTTTGAATTTTCTTTCAAAGTAAGTTTTCTTTTAATTTGGGGAAGAGCCTGTAATTACTGGGGGCGAGATCTGGCGAATATGGTGGAAGCTCCACTAATTCAAATCCTGCTTGGTGTATAGCAACCATGGCAATACAAGGCTGGGAGCATTATCCTGATGGACCAGCAGACCGTTCCTTAACTTTCCTCGTTAAGAGTGTCTCGCAAATTAGATATCAATTGTGCATAATATGAAATGCTATCCCTTTTGCAAATAGTCAGTCGGGATGATTCCTTGAGCAGCCCAGAACACAGACAGCAAAATCTCTCCAGTAGACGAAACGACTTTGAATTTGAGTGGAGGAGGAGAACCGTGATGTTTCCACCCTTACTTTGCACTTGGTATCCGGATCATAGTGGTACTCCCATGACTCATCCATGGTAACCTACTGACTAAGAGAATTTTGCTTGGTACCTTTCTAAAAGTCGATCACAAGTCAACACCCGATTTCTTTTTGATCAATGGTTAACATTTGTGGCACCCATCTTTTTCATATCTAATTTTTTATTCAGTATGTGGTGCACTACATGATATGACCAGCCAGTATCTTCCATAATGTCCCTGACTCATTGGTCTTGCAATACGATATTGAGTACCTTTTTAATGTTTTTGTCTGTTGTTACTATTATGGGAGAACAACCAGCATGCTGGTTTTCACAGGATGTTATTCTGCATTTAAAATCTCGACACCAGCGTTTGATTGTCTTCATGAATTTGAGTTGGCATCATGCCTTTTTTCTAGAGGTATTTTATTATGGCTCTTTGTTCTACATGATCCATTTTTATAAAAAATCATGACACACAGTTCAAGAATTAGCCACAACACAACAACGCTTTGAGATACACAGTTGATATTTTGTAAATACAACCTACAAAAGTCAGTTAACTAACTGTCAAAAACAATCAATCCACCACTTACAGCCGGTTTTTCAATCGTCCATTAAAAGTTAATCATAAATTAGGTATTTTTCAATTATTTTTAAATTTTAAATACAACTTAAATTTGAATTTAGATATTGGACAGAAAGGTATACTTTAACGAATTAATTATAAGTTTCTAATCTGGGGTTGCCAGATTTCCGAAAGTGAAAAGCGTGACAACCATAACGACAGAGCATTAGGTTCAAATACCAAGCATTTTTATATAATCAGGTCAATTTTTTGTGAACATTTCTCAAAAAAAGGTCCTCAGCTTATTTTTCGTAAAAACGAGGGTCTTTTACTGGGACATTTGTCTATTTTTGTATAAATCCGGTTTCTCTACGGCTTTCAATTAAAAAATGTGGCATTTGCATAAAAAGAGTGGCATTTTTTTTTCAAAAGCGTGACCTTTTCGTACTGTGCCGTTGCGCGTACAAGCAAGTCAAAAAGCGTGACAAATACGCCAAAAGCGTGACGTCTGGTAACCCTATTTTTTGGAAAGTGACAGTAGAATTTTAAAACATTGGAATTACTATATAAATGTGTATTGTCGATGATGAACTTCGAAGGACAACGGTCATTAGGACCAGACGAATTTTTTTTTTGAAGAATTTGACAAAAAAGATTTTTTGATAGGTTTTGACTGTTAAAAAGGTCTAGAAAATGTGCTAGATGAAATTCGTACCGGTATTCAACCTAAAGGCACTAGATTTTTGGACTCAATATTTGTATACTGTCCCACCAGAGCAACGTGCAAATGTTCTCTTATTTGCTAAAGTTTGTAGCTCGTTTTGGCTGTCTACAATATAAAATAATGCCAATAGCACATTTTAGAACCGTAGGTACTTTTTTAATGACATTTCTTCCATTTTATCAATTGTTTAAAATGTTATAAATAATATTACAGAAGGTTAAAAATTTTTGTGTCAAAAAAACTTCCATCTGATTTATTATTGTTCATAATCCCTAAAGATTAACCAAAATTTAATACCAACCTTCTAAAAAAATGCTAAAATTGAAATTAGTTGTCAGTTTAAATTGCTTGAAAAACACTTTATTTTTTAATTACAATTTAACTTTAAGTAACAATTACTTAATAAAGACTTTAATGTACGATTGAAAAATCGGCTATTATTAGAAATATGTCAGGGGCGGAAATAGGGATCCATCCTCATACTTTTAGCAACTTCTGACTATTTATAACCTTGCATAACTCCACATCATCAAACCAATTTCTTCCAGTGAGCTACACAATAGACGGTATATTATAAACCTTTACTCTTAATGAGGATATTAATTAGTCTTAAAGAATAAATGTACTAATTTCATTTAACACATCAGATCTGGACAAAAATATATTTACAGCCATTTAACAGTATCGGAAATTAAAATCCAGTAACATGACATATTTAGAAATATTGAAGCTTAGAAAACCCACTAATTTATTAGTAGTTATACATTTGCCAATCTGAAATATAATTCTTAGTTACACCAGGAAATAACTCATATTTTGTCAACAACAAAATTATTCTATTTACATTTTTTTAAATGGTTCAAAAGGGTTATAGGGGCGCAAGTGTCGGGGGGCGAGCTCTCGCCCCCTAGGCGGGCGGGTGCGATACTTCTACGCACTAACCTGCACATTAAAACTAATACTTGATGTCTCTGGAAGGTCTTATTTTTCTGTGAAGTAAAGTTTAGTTAGTTTTTATTGACGACAATATCAATAAAACAAAAATAAAGACAGCACAAGACTTTTTACATGCTCAAAACATATCCGTGCATCGAGTGCAGGGTTTGGACTCAAAAATTTGAATTTAAACTCAAAAATTATAAAATCATTAATGTATCATATTTTTCACATTATGACTCCTCTTTTTCGAACTTCTGCTTTATAGACTTCTATATTTGTTGTAGACATTATTTTTTTTCTTTATCCAAGGATAAGAGGCTTTATTACCATTAAAAATCATGCATGGGACCTCAAAAAAATCATATTGTTTTTCAGAGGAGTCCAAACCCTGGACAATTATTGAACTAGGTTAAATAGTTTTGAAGTATTCATTACTAATTTCTCAATACTAAAAAGATTAATTTAGAAAAATGTTTACTTGATTAAAATACTTTAGTTATAAAAAGATTCTAAATTTTGATAATGTTAATGTATTTAAATTAATCAATAAGAATTAAACAGAGATTACTATTATTTATATCTTAAAATTTTTCAAATATGGAAAAATGTTTGTTATCAAAATGAGAAAAAAAAATGTAATCAAGATAACAAATAATATTAAGAATAAAATTAACACAGTATATAGGAAAAACAAAATTACCTGCTGTTGGTAGGCAATGGTCTGTTTCATTAGAACCATTCGAATACTTTGCTCCATTGCATATTTTTTTGCTTTATTGACAGCATCTGAATCGTCTGATGATAATTTTGGCAGGGCACCTCCTAGAATTCCTGCAATGGTACTGCTTCGGGCTCCGGGACCTAAACAAATAAATTGTTACAAGGATTCAATTTTTAAGGAGATCAACATTACCTGTAATAACTTCGTCGGTTTGTGTTAAATCAAAGATATAATCGTATCCTTCATAAAGTCCTACAACAAACAATGGGTTTTAATAAAAACAACTACAGTAACTTTGGTTATTTAATTATTTAAGAGACTTGTTTTTAAAGATTTTACAAGTTTTAATTTGTTGTGAACTTCTTCATGCTAAAATGCAATATGTGAAATAGACAAAAAAAATTTATCTTTGCCTTTGAAATCTATATTTATAGCAATTCTCTATTTATGTTACAAAATAAACAGAGAAAAAATACTATAATGAATAGGATTCAAAAGCAAATACATTAAAGACACATACTTAGTGTTAATTGAAAATTTTGTGAATTTCACATTCTGTTTCGGCACGAAGAAGCTGAGTTTACAGGCAGATTGAAAAACAAGATTAAGTTTTCATGATTCCTGATTAGGAAAGGTAGGTGTCCAAAATTTTAGATTTCAGAATTTAAAAAACATTTTTACAAAACTACAGGATGGGACTTAAGTCAGTTCATAATATATCTCCTATTTAAGACTAGATTTCTATTTCAAGTCTAGCCTATATAGTCATTATTGACATCATCTCAAGACAAAAACAAGTCTCTAATATATTACTTCTTAAGTAGTCTGGAAGACGGATTACTTACTAACTCCTATATGGTAAAATATTAAGGAGAATGCTCAGACAAATCGATTTTTATTTCTGATAAGGTGCCTTTTTATTATAAAAGCAACCCCCTTGAATATTTTGAAGAGCAACAGAAACATAGCTCATTTGAAACAGTTTTTAATTCTCTATTCAATGGTTTAAATTTTCTTCATTAATTTTTGAGTTGATTAAATTTAAAATAAACTAAGATAAACAACAAAAAATATACTTTTTTGCATCTTATTAAGTCAATGAAGATAATTTTTGAGCATGTGATAACTCGAGTTTAAAATAATGTAATTCAATGAATAAATCTGGGGTGTTGTTTTGCCTGTTTAGAATATACATGAATATCCCAAAAGTCAAAAACTTAGGGATATGACTGTTATTTTAAGATAAAAACTATACAAGGTGTTGACTATTTTGAATATTTTTTGTTTTAGATTTTTAATTTAGTTGTAATTCTTTCTTCTGAATTTTTCATCTTAAAATAAATCACCTACCCAAGTATGTTGAAGTTTTTTTTTAGGATGCCTTGTATAATATTACATTGTTTTTAATATGCTGTATACATTTGTCTCTTTAATTTATTACTTGGTACACAATACTCACTTATTTAATTTTATTAAAATGTTTTTTGAAATATTTTAATGAATCAGGTTAAATATTTTAGAAACCCACCTTTCTTTTTTTTATTTCAAAGTCTCAGTATTTCTGGTGGAGAATAGCATCCACCATGTGTTATTTTAGAGGTACTTTTTTAGAAAATTATTGTTTCAATTATAACCAATAACATACTGACAATGAGGTTTTAAGTCTTGTTGATTAAATAATGAAACATTATTTAATCATGAATTTTTGATGTTTAAAAAAGCCAAATATTTGAAACAATAATTTTCGTTAGTGTTCATTTGAATCCACAATTATAGAACTACAATAAAAATTCTAGCAAACCGTTTTTAAACAAAGTTCGGATTATTGATGCATTGGACAATCTAAAAAAAAGTAAAGAGGCTTTCTTCTGATATCAAAAATAATTTCCACATAAATGATTGCACGATTTTGCTTTTATACAAAGAATCAGCTGATTTAAAATATTCTGATTTGGCTCTACATTTCCACAAAGAGATATTTCTTTACTTCTTTTTAAAATTAAATATTGGGACACTCAAAAGGAAATGAATATCGAGATTATTTCTAAAATCAAATCGCGTTAAAACGTAGGAAGTGGTTTCTTCTGAGGTAACTACCTTAACTTTTTGGTTTATGCATATATCTCGCCAAGTGATCTTCAGGAGATTGATCAAAGTCACGTGGGGGTAAATCTAAAATATATTAACTAAAACATTCACCAGAAAAAAAACATTTTTTAGAAGAGATCAGCAATGTATCCAAAAAAAAAAAAAAATTGAATGAAAAAATAAATCTATTAATGTTAAGAGAAAACAACTACATTATTCATAAAAATAAATTGTGAATCAAACTATCAAATTACTCCAAATGTTGTGTACATATCAAAAAATGTTAAAAAATAACTAGGCCACCTAACAGATGTGAAAATAGCAACATCTTTTATAATGTATTGTAGTTTTAAATTTCTTAACACTAATAATTTTTGTAAAACATTCAAATGGACTAAAATCATAAACCAATGTTTTATTCATCTTTGGAGGTAGCAACTTGATTTTTATTTTACTGCAGCATATCCTAGAAACATTAAAGAAATCAGGAAATACGACGTAATGAATAGACATTTCATACTTAGGTTATTGGAAAAAATAATACATTATTAAAAACACTAGGTCTGTGCTAGCATTTCATAATGTTATTGATAATTTTACATCAAAGGTAAAATCAACAAAAACCACAATAGCTTTTTTTTTAATTTGCTCATTGATTTAATAAACAATGGATGAAACTATTACCAATAACATAAAAAAAGAACGGGTAAATTTTAAAATAAATTATATATAAATAAAAAATGGCTGCATCAATTTTTTTGGCTTAATGAAAATTGATGCTTCTGAAACACAAAATAAAACTTAAAAACACGATTTTTTTAAAATATTATGTACATTTTGGAGCTCTGGCCAGTCGTTATCCATCTGGTGGCTCAACTCATGCCTCTAGTAAACGAAAATCTCACAATATGTTGCACCTATTAGCATCTGGAAACATAAAAAGAAAATAGAGATGTCTTAGACAACCGGGATTTTTCTTATGGGAATAATACTGAAGAAATGTAAAAGTATGAGTTGTAGAATAACAAAATAAAATAAATTGGAAATTTTCCAACTAGCATAAATTCGAATTGTTTTTGTCAAATTCTCAAATTAAGTGCCAAGCATCATTTTTTAAAATATTTTTATATCTGTACCAAACTAATCAAACATATTTACTATCTTGGCACATTAGTGAAAATCTTTGCCTAAAGTCATAATATGAAACTATTAAAATATACAGCAGGTTGTGTTATTCAATTTAGAATGCTTTGATAATATCAGATAAGTAGATGAATAATAAATTATTTTAAGACTGTGTCTAGGCTTACTTCACTGTAAGCCACAGGGAAAAATTTGGTTTACAGCAGATTCTACACTATAAGTGTATTTCCCATTATGTATTACATAATTATTAAAGTAGAAGAGGCCTTAAACTATTATCAATGGAAGTTAGTTACTTTTATAAAATCTATAATTTTTTTTGAGACACCTCCGATTGCTCCAGGTTCTATAGGTTAAGTGTTTTTTTTTTTAAATATAAGTAAGTATACTTAAATCAGTTATTACTAAAACCCCATAAGTCATATTTTGGCTATATTGAGATTTGTAGGAAAATCCAATTCTGTGACACACAGCATCGATTAGTGTTAAAAACTGTAGTTCTAAAACACCTTAAGCTATCGACTTAGGGCAGTTTGGTAATAAACTGTTGGATGTTGAAAATATGACTTAGGGTGTTTTAGTAATAACCGATTCAATTAATTAAGCAGTTTTATTTTTCTCTGCTTACTGCATACAAGTGCATAGTATCTGCAATAAGTCAAACTTTTTTGCCTCCCCTTATGGTGCCCTATGCCAACACACATGTTGTTATTAAAGTAAGCATAACCTATCATCAGCCAAAAACCAATCATCTTTAACCAAGTTGTTCATAGAATATTTTAATTCCTCATTTTTCATCAGCATTAATTGGATAGTTAATTATTACAACATACTGCATACTTTCATTTTAAGTCAACTTTGTAATAGTAATGATAGTATGACAATTGGCACCCTGGAGAGTAGTGATAGCCTTATTTATAGCATATAAACAAAAATCTCATTTAAGCAAAGCGAACTCATACTTCTACAATTATATTTTACTTAGGTGTTCTCCTACCGTGTAGCGTACGGGGCTACAGTTATGTCTCTAACAGCTTTGCCAAGACTCCACTGAGGCTACCAGGCCGATCTCATTCTGGAACATCTCAAGCAAGACATCTCACATTAATATCTTATCCCGATTTAAGTCAATCTCTCAATATAAAGTAAAAAATAAATTAACTTACTTGTTGGATCAATTTGCATTTCTACTTCTTCAGTTCCAGGTACAGGAGGTTCGTCCATCATCCCGAACTCATCGGTTTTTGGTTCTAGCTCTTCATCCAACATGGGTTCCGGTTCGGCAGGGATTGTTTCCATCGAGTTAATGGGCATAGGGGGCATAGGAGGCATTGGTGGTGGAGGTATTACCATTGGGAGGCCTGGAGGAAGCATTGGAGGTGGAGGAGGTAAAGATGAGGGAGGTAAACCAGGTGGAGGTAGTAATGGAGGCGGCGCAGAAATACTCTGAGGCGGTGGAGGCTGTAATGTAAACTATGCCAATCAATCATTCCCAATAATCAAAAAGAAAAATATGTACTTACTGCTTTAGGTGTTTGATTCATCATCAATCGTTGCTGTTGGAATGAAGTCATCATTTTGAAATGTCTTTTACAATGATTTAACTCAAAATAAAATAATATATAAATATTATAAATAACAACTTCACAATCAAGCGTTGAGCAACACGACGAAACAAAATGGCGTCTTCACCAAAAGACTAGTTTTGCCAACCTGGGAAAATGAAAACCCCAGTATATATATAAATGTCACTATTCACGGCTGCCAAATTACAAAATTTTCATCAAGGGCTATATTACCGTCTAGGTGGAGGGCAAAAAAATATTTAGAACAAAAGAGGAGAGCACATAACCTATGCACAATCACAATGCACATAACCTCTTTGAAACATCGTGTAAAAATTGTAAACAAGTCTTAGAAAATATCTAATCATTTTCATTTATAATGAATGTTGAAGTAAGAGTAACAGATTCCTCAAAGGTATTGTATTTATGAAAGTGAAAGCAACAAGATATTGTCATTAGAGCAATAATTTTTTTTAGGGCAAAGGGTTGTATGCCAAATGTAAAATTCTCAAAGAGTCGCTTATTTTTGAAGAAGATCCTTTAGTGTCTTGTCAGTTTTCTTGGAATTCTGCCTATCGATATCTAGCTTGTGATCATTGCCTTAGGTAAGCTCTCTTTAGTTTCTATCCTGTTTTTAAATACATTTACAGTTTGTGATTCGAATCTGGGATCTCATGTCCGAATCCGTTTTACTAAAAAAAAAAAAAAACAAAAGGATTTGAACCAAGCGATTGGAATCCAATTTTTCAGTACACAAATACGAATCACTGTCAGTGTCATACTATGTATTAGGTTATTTCGTTCGCGGTTGGTGCAGTGTCACTTACACCACCTTATTTACATAGTTTACTTCCCTCCTTATTCCTTATACACATGTTGAGTGTAATTCACTCCTGCTAAATAGCTGGTGGAGAAAGTATCCATTAGTGGACACTATGCCATCGACTGAAAGGAGTAGTGGATTTTACACTGGGCCAAATGAAAGATATAGTGTCCATTGGTGTAGTTCATTCCTACACCATTGCTACACTATGTACCTATTACTGACTATGACATTTAAAAAAATGGTTGAATAGTATGAACATTTTTTTCTTCGGTGTAATGGTTTTGGTAGATTCTACTCAATTAGCCAGTCTCTATTTGGTTTGCTTTTTATACAGTATGTTGACCAACTCACCCAGCAGAATAAAGATAAGACTTAATTATATTTAGATGTGAGGTAAATAAAGAAAGTAGCTCTCGACTCGCCTATCTGCCTGCTGTAATTGAATTCATGGTTACACCTCTACCGGTAGTGGGATAACAAGTGTGCTCTATTTCTGTCTTTTCAATAGCATTGGTTTTCTATACAGGTCTCTGGAGAGAGATTTGAAAACTTATTATATTTTATAACATGTTCTGTGTAGGCTTTGTTACTGTTTACCAGTGCCGCTTTAGGAACATCACTATTAATTAGCACCCAACAGTGAATATTTTGGTAAGAAATCATATCGAAGAATTAGAATTAACTATTAATTAAATGAATTATGAAAAATCTCGTCACCGATAGAATGTGAACCTGGGACTATTGGATCTAAAAGTCCTGACTATAACCACTGACCCACCCACCTACCACCTGTGAATATGATTGGCACTATTTATTGATTCTTCACAAGAATTACTCATTTTGAATCATAGTTATCTTAATTTAAAATAATAAAAAAAATATAGTTAGCTAGATACTAAATAAGAAACTGTCACTGGTGGATTTCATGAAATGGATTTAGTTACATAAAATACAGAGAGTCACGAAAGTCTGGAATACAATTATCTGTTCAACAAGTAACTTAAAAAAAACCTGAAACACGTGAATTGATTTTACATTGGATGTATTTGTTGCCAATAAAATGATTTTTTTTTCTTCAACCCTTTAGCTGCAACCCTACAAAACTTTTTGTTTCAAATGCAAAGATATGTCGTGTGTAGGGTCATTGAAAAGCTCATGAAAATTGGAATCTCACTTCCCCTTTTTTTCTTTTATTTATGCAACATACCTTTGCATTTAAAAAAAAAGTTGGGTAGGGTTGCAGCTAAGTGGTTAAAAAAAAAATTTTCATTTTATTGGCAACAAATACGTCCAATGTAAAATCAATTCACGTGTTTTAGCGGTTTTTTTTTTTGAGAAAATAAGATAATAATTTTATTCCGAACTTTTTCGCAACTCTGTGATATCCGTTTAGTAGACATAGCGCCTATTTATTTATCTTCAATCATATATTTATGTTGTACATGTACATTGTGCATAAAATAAAAAAATAGATAATAAACTTGTGGGTATAAAGAGGTCTGAGTCTAGTGATGGGCAATCTGGATTATTTTGAAGATCTGTGTCAAGGAATCTGAACCAGTGAGCCAGATCTCGGTTCAGTTACATCTTTAAATCTGGGATGATGCGACCTCGACGATTCTGTTTAGTCAGCCCCATCTGTTAACATAATTTATAACAACATAAAATATAGTCCAAGCTGAACATTGACTAACTCGAATTAACATTTGAAATATTCTTGTTTTAATTTTTTTTATTTATGTAATTTAGTGAAATAAACAATATGTATTTTGAACATTCTGAATTTTAACTGTGTGCCTGTAAACCAAAGGCTGACATGGCTCTGGGACTTTGATTCTTGTCCACACAGTGATGTTGCTGTACACACAACTGTTAACTGACATAAAAGTTGGCCAATCTTTTTATTTTGCAGTAAATTACGAAACGGTAAATCGATCTCTACTGATTAAAAAGTTAAAAAGTTTTGGTATTATTGAAAATTCACTAGAATGGCTTATAAATTACCTGGACAATAGAAAACAAAAATTAAGGTTTAAAAACATTTTATCAAAAGAACAAAAAAATGAATTAGGCGTACCACAGGGGAGTGTATTGGGCCCACTATTGTTCCTTCTATATATTGATGATATTTCTCAAGTTGCAGGTGGTTGCTCCATACATATGTTTGCAGATGATACTCTGCTGTATTATTCTGCTAATAATTTGCAGGAAGTAACCGCTACTATAAATACCACATTAAAGCAAATATATTATTGGTGTTGTTTTAATTCGTTAAAAGTAAATATTAACAAAACTAAATTTATGATTATCGGGAATGTTAGGTATTACAATGAATTTACTGAAAATAATATGAAAATTAGTATTGAAAATGATGTCATTGAAGTCGTAAAAAAAATTAAATATCTGGGAGTAATAGTAGACCATATGTTGTTTTTTAAAGATCATGCAAACTATATCATTAAAACAGTAGCGTTTAAAGTCAACTACTTATACCGGTGCTCAAAATATATTAATAAATGGTCATTGATTCTTTTATATAACAGTATAGTTTTGCCTCATTTCACTTATTGTGCCACCATTATGTATTTACTTAATCAGAATGAAACCAACAGACTTCAGAAATTACAAAATAGAGTAATGAGGATATTATTGTCATGTGATAGAAGGACCAATACAGGGTGTCCTTTAAAATGTGTCCCAAAATTCTCAGGCAGATTCCTTAACCAAAAAATGGAAAAAAAGTTCCTATAGACCTATGTCCTAAAGTGCCCCCTAAGCGAGCAACAGCCTCTCGAAATCATTTTTTTTATTTTGATTTTTTGAATTTTCTTAAAAATGGAAACAAATAAAAGAACCAAATTTTGGCTGTTAAATATGATCAATAATAGTGACCTTTTGACACCTTCAAAAAGAAATTATTTCGTCAGGGGTGTACTTGGGAATTTTTTGAAAATTTTGATTATTCATAACTTTTTTGTGTTTTTGGTAATGACTTATCCATATTTTTTTTTACATTCTACATTGAAAACTACGTCAAAAAGGAATACTTGTTTGATCTCGATTGGAGCAGCCGTTTCCGAGAAAACATCATCCAAAGATATTCGTCCACTTTAGCTTAATTTTCAATTTTCCTAAATTACCTCGGTGAATCTCGTAAATAAAAATAACTTTTTTAGCTCTCTCTAAATAATTGTAGTTCAAATGTCGTGGTGGGACTATTTTTATTTAATAATAAGAAACGGTTTAAAAAAATATTTATTCTAAAAAAACAAATCAAAAAAAATTAAAGCAGATGCTCAATGTGGCGACCATTGGTTTCCACACACAAGCGCAACCGTCGCATCATAGACTGTCTTACACGAAAAAATACTTCAGGATTATTCCTAAGAACTTCGCAATGATGAAAAACTCGTTCTTCCAATTCTTCAACTGTTTCAACAGGACTGGAATAAACCAATGATTTTAAATAACCCCAAACAAAAAAATCCATTGGATTTAGATCTGGTAAACGAGGTGGCCAGTTAACAGGACAACCTCTGCCAATTACTCTACCCTCAAATCTTTCGTTAAGGTGCTGTCTAGCTTCAAGGCTGTAATGTGGTGGAGCTCCATCATGCATAAACCACATGTTATGTCTGATTTGAATCGGAATATTATCAAGAAGCTCATGTAAGTTATTTTCCAAAAAAAGCCTGTATGCTGCTCCATTTAACCTATTCGGCAAAACAAATGGTCCAATAAGGTAATTATCAATAACTCCAGCCCAGACGTTTATTGAAAATTTATCCTGGTGGTGACGTTCAACAACCGCGTGAGGGTTATCTTCAGCCCATTCATGCATATTTCGAAAATTTATTATACCATCTCTAGTGAAACCAGCTTCATCGGTAAATAGCACTTTATTAAGAAACATTGCATCTTGATTACATCTTCCAAGAAACCATTCAGAAAAGATAACTCGCGGCTCATAATCAGTAGCTTTAAGTGCCTGAACTTTTTGAATGTGGTAAGGGTACAATTGTTGTTCACGCAAAACTTTCCATACCGTGTTACGTCCGACTCCCACTTCTGAAATTAAATGAGAGAATCTGTGTAGTGAATAGTTAAGAAAGAGAATCCATTGATTTGGGAAATCAGATTTTTTCTGCATAACGCAACTCTTTTCGATACGAAAAGTCGTGAAATGTAAGAGAAGCAATAACAAGTAAAAAAACTAGTTTTATACGATAAGGTACGGGGTAGCTAAAATAATAAATAAGTAATTACTTACCATTTTCTATTTTTCTGGTACTTGTCGATGGGGTTTCAGCTACCCTATCCAAAATTGCTTCTTCCAAAGCAGGAGTTCTCACATAATTTTGTCTTCCACTGTTACTAGAGTTTTTCTTAAATGTACCAGTTTCCCGAAGTCTATCGTCAATTCTAGAAAACGTCTTAGCGCATGGAAGATGCCTATTTGGAAAGCGCTCCTGATAAAGTCTGCGAGCTTCATTGGCATTTCCAGAAGCGAGTCCAAAACATAAGTGCATGTCCGTCATTTCGCCGAATGTGTAATCATTATTGTAGTTATTGTGAGCCATTTTAAACAAAATAATAACAATACAACGAATCGCACCAGAACACTTTTAGAAATAATGTTTAACTGAAGAAACATTTTTATCAGTGAGCGAAAAAAATTATCCATGAAACACAAAAACGCCAAAAAAATACATATTTTTACTTTTTTATTCTAAACAGCTAAATACAAACCTTATGGTCTTCATAATAAATAAATGGGAA